TTAACTGATTTAAAATATGTTTTTTTCGCTACACATTATTAACCATGTTTCAAAAATGGAAGCTGAAATCTTCGAATTTAATTTTGTAAGTAAATTAAAATTTCGCTTGAAGATGAAATGGAACTAATGTTTTTAATTTAATTACAAAATTAAATTCGAAGCTTTAATCTTCCATTTTTGAAACATGGTTAATACTGTGTAGCGAAAACCCATATTTAAATCAGTTATATATATATATATATATATATATATATATATATATATTAACTGATTTAAAATATGACTATATATATATATATATATATATATATATATATATATATATATAATTATATGAAATTATTTTTTTTACAAAACGATATTCACAAAAGAACGGCCCAATTCAAAAGAGTGCCTAATAAAACGAAAATGTAGTTAATATATAAAATATCTGAAACAATGACCTTCTTGCAGCCACTGTTTCTGCCTAGAGGACTTCATCAGGCAATAAGTCATTGTTTCTTTTCAAAACCTATCTATGAGGCTAATGAAAAGATATGTGATGAAAATATGATACTCACAGGACAGATTAAAGGCAAAAAAAACAACGCATAACCTACTCTGTAAGCTTGAATAAATGGATGTCGGTACAGGGTTTTATAAGAAATAACAGAAAGACAAAATTAATTAAGAGCTACAAAGAATAAGTAGTTATACAGAGCCATGATTGCTTATGTCCTGGGGTGGGGGCAGAACACGGCACATAAAGAATATAAGAAACAAAGAACACAAATATAGGCTGCAAGATATTGTTATACATCACAGGTTCACATGCCAGCTTCGTAAAACTCATCTGGCTGCTGATGTAACCACTGACAATAGTTTTTACTTCTTCATCCCTACCATAACGTTTACCTCTCAAAGCCTCTTTCATTGGCCCAAAGAAATGGAAGTCTGACGGTGCTGATGGTCATGTGGGGGGTATAACATATCAGAGGATAGTATTAACTATCTGTACTTTCATATACACACGAAAGAACAATCCTGATGTCAAGCCCTAATGGAGATAAGTAGTAGATTAATAGAGAATCTAAGTACTGTTGATATATGTCCTATTTCGGAGCAAGTGCATCTACTGATCTGTATATATGATCGCTTACTGTATCGAGTCAGTTGTTAAATCTTTTTACTGTGTAGTGCTAAACAATTTCTTTCACTTGTATTCGTCTAGCACATTTATAAGTGGAACATTCGCCAGTGTATTGGATATTGTTGTCATATCTGGTCTGGTGCTTCTGCTATATATCATGAAATCGTGGAAAAATCCAAAATAAGCATTTGCCATATTATCAGTCCCGACCAGACATCTCATCTCCAATCAATTTCTCGACGCCTTAACGTAGTTTCCCTGTGTCTTTTCTACAAATATTTTCGCGCAATTGTTCTGATGAGATTTCCTCTTTGGTACGACGACTTCATAAATTTAAGCGCAGTACTAAATTGGCAGCTAGGTCGCATCATTTTACTGTTTGAATTCTTAAATGTAACCGTAATTTAATGTTTCTTCTCTCGCAGTTCTCATCTATGGAAGAAAGCAAAAAAAACTGGAAATTTATTGCTTTTTTTTTTGTCAACAACAATCTACAAAAATGTCAAACCTCAGCGTCAATCGTCGTCTTGTGCCTCTTTAATAATGTTCTTTTTATTGCCCTTTCTCTTCAGTAATGTTTTCTTAGTTTCCTTCCCTGTTTTGTTCTTCATTCCCAGTAAGTCTTTATCACCTTACTCCGGCTAAAATGATTCAAAACTGTAAAGTTAATCTATAGGCTGGTCCGATCTAATTATTGATTTGTATGTATTATATTTCTTTTATTATTTTTTTTTTTACTTCGAGACTACCTATAGATGAAATTACATTTATAATAGTTTCTAACTAATCTGAAGCCTCTATCTTTATTAATAATCTGTTTAAATTGGCTTCTGCTTCAGTAGCACAAAAGGCGGAAAAGTAACGAACTAATCGAAATGCGAAGATAAATGTCCTACCATATTTTTTGTCAAATAATTTCTATGTCTGTATTAAAGGTTTTTAGATATATTGAAGATATGATTTCAGTCCTGGATAAGTGTAATCTGGGGTAAATTAAAATATATATTCACAGTGTTGCAATTTTATTTTTTGTTAATATGTGTGTATGATATATGTATGTATGTATAGCTAGGTTATACTGTATACTTGTGTTACCATTTACATTCATTTTAGACAAAATGTATGGTAAACTGAATAGTTCTCTAAATCTATACAGACATTACAGTAGATTACAGTAGATTACAGTAGATATTGATTCTACCAAGTGCAACATTTAATTCTTAAACAAAAAACACAATTTTTACCACGGAAACCTTTTTAGAATTTATTTTAAGCTATATTTTGTAATTTTATACCACCATAGCAATTCTTCTTAGAGGTTTAAAGGGCAGACAACTCTAGTTGCCTTCACGACAAGTATATTTGTACAGGACACAAACTGTAGTATTATGGTATGATGTGCCATGTTGGTTCTTTAGTGTTTGTGGAAGGAACACATTACCATGTTCATTCTGTTCTACTGCCATTCCTGTAACAGGAAGGCAAAATGCCTATTCTACCAGGAAAATACCTGTGCTACTCAGCCTAACCTGTACGATGTTTGACTACATTCTGGCCAGCACAATTGTGAGACGTGCCCCCCTATTGAACCAAGTTGAGTGACACCTAACTTCTTCAGTTAAACTGCCTGCTGTATTGTGTCAAGGCACAAGAGTCAGAGAATAATGTATTGCAGGATAGTATTTGCTAGCTCTATCATTGTATTCATGTCAGTGTACAGGCTGGTGTTAACATCCAAGACAAAGTGTTTTAATATGGGTTCGGAGTACTGTTGAGATATGCCTTATTTTGAAACACATGCAAATATTGATTTGTACATGTAATCACTTATTGTAATCGTTTTGTAATCTGGACAAAAAAATCTGGAAAAAATTGAAAAATATATATATTTTTTTAATGTGGACAAAATTAAATCTAGACAAAATTAATTTTTTTTTTTTGAATCTGGGCAAAATTGAATCTGAACAAAATTGAAAAATATTTTCTGAATTTGGACAAAATTGTATCTGGACTGTAAAGTGTGACGAGTACGTCCGGTACTGTCTGTCAATAAAGAACTCCGGTCCACTTTATATATAATGCCAAGGGCAGGTAACTCTGTCTCAGCTTGTTTCGCAGGGGCAAGTAACTCTGTTCTCATCTACACATGGACAAAATTGAAAAACATTTTTCATCTCTTGCGCTTTTATTTTCTATTACTATAAAATAAATATTAATGTAAAAGAAATGTTTCCCCAGTATGAAGGCATCAAATAATACACAGCAGAGAACTATTTTGTCCGCCATCAGGATGGCTGATGCTAAACTACAGAAGAACAGCAGCACACTTCACTTTCTTGATGGTTTCCCCTTTTTCCGCTGCCATGAAGTGGCGCGATTTTCACTGCTATTCTCTTCAATCATCTCAGTTTCCTCGAATCTTCACAACGCTTCTTTACATTTATGAAACGTTACTAGTTTTTTTTTCTTTCTGGGTAATAACAGTTGTAAATGGCTTAAATTCGAACAGAAGTCCTAATAAGACTGTGCCTATTAACAAGCTATCGCTAATCACTTCTCCGGAGGATTTTAAAAAAAAAAAAAATTACAGCATTTTCAGCTCCAATATAGTCGGTCATACTTTCGCCACATGCTTTTTGCAGGAAAGATAATACAGTATACAAGGAAATTATTTTTGGTTTTTAGTTTAACAAGTATTGCTATCACAAAATTTGCAGTTCTTTTCTGCCATTATCAGGGGTTTCTCTCATAATAAGACAAACTTCAATCATTGACAATTTGGATGTATTCGGTAGATGCGTTTGACGTTTTTTCTCATTACTCTCCGTCATTTGGACGATCAAATGTTGTCAAGATTGTTTCGTGTAATTTTTGGATTCTCAAAATTTTACTTCCAAAAGTTCCCAGCATTAATCTCTGTGTTTTGTCTATAAATTTGTGGAAGGGGGATTTTTTTTTTTTTTTTTTTTTTTTTTTTTTAAATTCCTGTACGGACTGTTACCAACAACATGGAATCAATTGCTTCGTCTACTGCAAGGAAAGTTGGTTCACGGTGAAAATCTTTCTCGTCAGAATGCATCTTACACATTTATAAATCTACCATTCTTCTGTTCATTGAATAGCGTTGCCATATCTGACCTGGTGCTCCTGATGTACCTGTGCTCTTGATCTCCATATTCTTGATACAACCCAAGGAAAGATCTGCAATGTAATTGATCCTGATGTGGCATCTCGACTTCAGTCACTTTCTCACCGATGTCTTTTCTACAAATATTTTTACAGCAACTGTCCTAATGAGCTTTTTTCTCTGATGCCCTGACTGCATGAATTTAAGCGTGCTACTAGATTGGCAACTAGGTCCCACTGCTGTGAAAATAGCTAAATGCAAACACTACTTCTGCTCTAACAGTTTATTTTCTTGCCTTTCCGATTTCTTGCTTCTCTGTTAACTACAAACTTGAAAAAATTTAAATACAACGTCAATCGCCATTTTCTGTCTCCTTTAAAAATGTGCCTTTTTTGTCCCTACCTCAATCCTACCCATTCTCAGTCTTCTCATTCACTTTCACTTTCACTTTCACTTTCTGTAACGCCCTGCGTTCTAGTGGCATTAGTGCTTTTGTTGGAGCGAAAGGAATTTAAAAAATGTATACTTCATTGTAAATGTTTAACATTATTGCCAACAGTTTTCACCACATCTGTTATTATAATCACTGATAGGAAAACCATGTAAGCTGAACGCTGAACAAAGCATTCTGCTGTCAGGTGATTTGACAGCTGAGATTATCCGCTTTCGCTTCCTTTGCCTCATCTGTCTCGCCCAAGGTTCCAGCATTAATGAATTCAGAACCATGCAGTGATCGCTTCCTGGATGCTTTGTGTCTCTCTGGTACCGAAAGTGGCAGTAACTCGAGCCGTGGAGGATACTAGGGATATTTCTTGTATGCGTGAGTTTTCGTAACTATTCAACTGTGAGCAAATATGGGAAGAGTTGGTTGGCCAAGGTTGCAATCATTTCCATTACGGTTCGTTGCCGATAATTTATTAATCTGTTCGTGTGCCATGAGGGGTAAATGAAGTAATATTTCTTTTTCAACATAATTATTTACTGTTGGATCTCTTGCTATTAATTATTTGGTTAAAATTTTTAGTTTTCAAATCATGTTTCCTTTTTTGGCTTACTTTACTCCCTTTTCTTCTCTTCAATCAATCTCAGTTTCCTGGAAGCTTCACAATGCTTCTTTTCATTTACAAAACGTTACTAGTTTGTCTTTCTAAGTAATAACAGTTGTAAATAGCTTAAATTCGGACGGAAGGCTTAATAGGCCTATTAGCAAGATATCGTTAATCACTTCTCTGGAGGTTTTTTTAATAAAGTTACAGTATTTTCAACTCTAATAATATAATCTGTTATACTTTCGCCACATGCTTTTGTTATGGTCCAGGTCCTTGTATCACGGTGATGGTCCAAGGTAGAACCAATAAAGAAAAACTCGAACACGGATATGGAATAATACAGATATATTACAAACAGGAATATATACAGAGAAGTAGAAAGTGTTAGTACGAGCAATCAGGTTTAGTAGGGAGAACAATGTAGTCTCGACCAGTATCACTATTCCAATGTTTTCTAGTAATTGTCTGAACGCGACTCTGTTTCGGACTGCGTCTGACTCGACTCTTGACTCCACGGACCTCACTCCAGACTTCAGACTGAACTCTCTGCTTCCTCTTGAGGCGCAGTATTTATTACGCAGTGAATATTCCATTATGTTATTATGGGTAAGGTCCCATAACAGCTTTTCGCATACAAGGAACTTATTTTTGGTTTTTCGTTTGACAAGTATTGCTCTCTCAAAATTTACAGTGCTTTTCTGCCATTGTCAGAGGTTTCTCTCATAAGACAGATTCGATCATCGAGAATTTGGATTTATTCGGCAGACGCGTTTGAATGTTTTTCGCATTACTCTTTGTCATTGGGACGATCAAATGGTGCCAAGATTGTTTCGTGGAATTTTGGGATTCTCACAATTCTACTTCCAAAGGTCCCCAGCCTTAATCTATGTAAGAAATGATGGGTAGCGGCTCGGATTGAGGTATCGAAGAGCCGAGTTCGAATTCCAGTCGAATCCATTACATTCACTTACGTGCTAATACCCTTGAGAAAGGTACAAATCAATTTCTTCTCGTCCCAGCTCTGGGTAAATAGCAGAAGGACGACTCTGAATTCAAAACCTTCGGGTGTCGGTCAAGAGCTTGGAGAGGAGACGGGTGCTGCCAAGCTATCCGAAGACCCACTGAAAGGATCATGAGGAAGATGAATCAATGTCTGTATCTTCAGCCCTCAGATCCACCCCCCCACTTGACAAATGAAGCAGTCGGGAGGTCAAAAAAATCAGTGCTTCACAAAAATCAAAATACTCGTATGCAAGTGAATCATTAATTTCCTACATTCAAGAGAATTCCGAATCGATGTCACATCATGTTTTTACCACGATTCTTCTTCTATGCACCGTGTACCTTCGGGGTGTAGGCGATCATGTCTCTCCACAACTTCCTATAATTTTTAGCTCTTAGGAAATGTTTTTCTTTTTGTCATCTCTTCTAAACATTATTCCGCCATCCATTTGCACGAGCCCGGTAGGTAAGTTATGCCCCTCTTACCTTCAGTCCTCCTGAGAGTATCAAATTTTCAAAACCCATTTTCCTCATTATGTGCCTTACAAATTTCAACTAACGCTTTCTGATTCTAAATATGTCTCCATTTTTTTTTTTTTTCATTTTCTCTAAATCTTTGCTGTTGCTTAAATATTCAGTCCGTGGTGTTTTCAGCGTCCTTCTGTAGAATCACATATCAGATGCCTCAAGACTCTTCTTCATCTGTCAGGAGATTTCCAGAATTTACTGCCAATGTCGGAGGATACGAGGCACTTATTCCAGTATTTTTGGAACGCCAACGTATATATAAGTTGATATATTTAGTGTCCTTTGGGGAAGTACTATATTCTATCTAACGTCTGTTGAGCAGACTCTCATTAATAATGACTTCCCAAACCACATTGTAGATGAACAAATAAGACGATATATAAAATCCTCAACACGTCAAATAGATGAGTATGAACGGATATTGTTAAAAATTCGCAGACATAATTTCTGTAATTTATTCAAAATATATATATATATATATATATATATATATATATATATATATATGAAGAAATATAGTCTAAAAATGTGCTATATTTATGGGATAAAGTGCTCAATATCAGAGATAGAGCGTGTGTAAATATAAAAGTGAACATAGAAGTCAACACTTAGAGGCGACAGTCTGTTTCATGCTATATGCAATCACCAGGCACACATGGTCTGATGATTGCATATAGCATGAAACAGACAGTCGCCTCTAAGTGTTGACTTTATGTTCACTTTTTTATATATATATATATATATATATATATATATATCTGTGTGTGTGTGCATGTGTATATGAAAACGATATACATTTTTCTATGTCTTAAGAGAAATTTTGAAGGAAAGAAGTATGAGAATGTCTAAAAAATTTCGTGGGCTACATTTCGTCGTTTAGGACTTCATCAGACTTAATTTCTGTTTACGTTGATGCGACTGCACATGCGCACGAAGGAAAGGGGACGCTCAGAGTTTTAATTTTTTATTTTAATTTAACATTTGTTTTGGGTATATAATATAGCCAATTTAATTTAGATTCGTTTTCTTTTTGTTCATGTTTACATTTCTTTTTGTTATTAAATTTCCCAGATTGTGATAACAGAAGGTCTGCCGAGAAAGATGAAAAGTTGTTAGAACCTGAACGCTAATTTACTGTAGATGATCTAACGAATAAAGCACATTCATATTCTTAAATTGTTTTCCCTTTTAATTAGATAAGTATTTTTAAATCAACATTGTGGACAGTCTCGTTATGGTGATTAACTAATGCATTTAATGTGTCTTTTTAAAAATATGTCTTTTGTATTCATATATTATTTTATTTAAATTACCTGAGGTTTCTCCTATGTATCCATTGCGGCAATTATTACAGGTAATAGAGTAAAAAATACTTTAAAACGCACAACGTCTCCCCTTCCCTCGTACGCATGCGTAGTTGCATCAACATAAACATAAATTTACCCCGATGTCATAATTCTTTCTCTTTATATATAACAACACATAAGATTCGCCAGCGGCGCGTAGAAGTAGTCAACTGCTAGAAGCGAGTCAAGTGAATTCCACAATGAATCACCAACTGTAGGATATCTACCAACCACTCCACGTAATCAGATGTGCCACAAGGTCGAATTTAATGTCGGGTATCCAAGCCCATAAGCTCAGCCAAAAATTCCCCATAGACCCCGTATAAAACGGGATAGGGTAACTGTTTCCCGAGACGAGACTCTGTCCTTCGACAGAGTCTCGTCTGGGAATCCTATCTGACCGAAGGCAGAAAGTTTGACCAGCACAGCCGGAGACGAATCTCCAACTGCAGGATATATACCAACCACCCAACGTAGTCAGAAGTGGCACAAGGCCGAATTTAATGTGGATTATGGCTTGGCCATAAATTCTCCGTAGACCTCATATAAAACGGAGTCGGGTAGCTGTTTCCCGAGAAGAGACTGTCCTTCGACATAGTCTCATCTGGGGATCCTCTCTGCCCGGAGACAGAAAGTTTGACCAGAACAGCTCGAGATGAATCTCCGCCTGCAGATTATTTATTGTCCAAAAAGTACAAATATGGCACAAGGCCGAAAAGGGGAAAGGGGGAAAAGGATGGCCATCTTCTGTGTTAACATTAAACTTAGCTAGCCGCAAACACTGACCCAAACATACAAACGATATTCCTTTCACCAAAACAACTCATTCTTACTTACCATTCTTACCTCATCCACCATAATGCCTCAGAAACTCTATGAAGTCCTAACTAGTCCCCATATATACAATTCATTGTCTGTGGGGGGAGGGGAATAAAATAACAATCTAAAAACCCCAGTGAGTATTTACAGTGAATACAAAACTATGTACAAGATAATAAACAAAACAGAAACATCAGATAACTGGACGAAATCAATTCAGGACTAAAAAAAATATATAAAAACATTCGTACAAACCACAGACTCACTACAAATACACACTCATCCAAACACAACAACAAATACAAAAAACACTCGAAACGAAAGACGGCCCGCACCAACCACAGAACTGATATCACTAACCACCTAACGATGGGAGGGATGGGGAATTAAAGAAAAGAAAGAAAATAGGGCCAGAAAAAAAGAGGCAAATAAGCAGACACACCCTAGCTGTTTACTTGAAAAAAGAGAAAAAAAAACACTAAAACAAGAAACGAACTACAGTAACCTATACACGGGAAGGTTTGCCAATTTTCAACCCAGCAATCCCAATATTCTGACAGCCTAACCAGCATCAAAATGCCACTCCAAGTCAGCACCTTTCACTCTGCAGAGACGCGCAAGACTCACCCATCTGTCACCAAATTCCAATGGATGGAGTCGTTTCCTTTCCGTCCTGATCTTGACTTTAAGCTGATTCTTAAAGAAAAGGGTCAATTGGGAAGAGGTAAACTTCTCGTCCCCATGAAATTCCTTCTGTCGTGTCGTCCATATCACGACTCGCATAACCCCCAGTAAGCAAAGGAACACATAGTGCTCAGCCTTAGTCAACGGCGGTACTATATTGCTACAGACGGAACTGGCCTCGAGGACAAAGAACTTTCCGCGAGGCATGCGAACCATGATGACTTCAACAAACTTGCACAACGGAGCTACGACACTACAATGAAAGAAGGCGTGACCTAGGGTCTCCACCTCCCCACTGCAGCGAACGCAGTTTGGCGACTTAGCTAAACCAGCTGCACGAAGTCTTTTAGCGACCCAGAGGACCCCTCGAATCAACAGCCAGGTGAGTGATGCCTCAGTGTT